AGCTATGCCACTTTTCGTGCTGACCAAAATTGAGCATAGCAGAATTATAGGGCTGCCTTGCTGCTGTGTAAATGTGAATATATTCCGTAACATAAATATATAAAAGAAGCATTTATGTTAAATGAATAGAAGAAATTATTTGCTTTTTTTTTTGCAAACACAAGTACTGCCAAAGGAGAAGATTGCTTCTCATCTAACCGCAACTGCAGAATACATAAAATAAGGAAGAATTATGTGAGTTTATATAAAATATAAATTAATATTGATTACTTGAATGGAACAACTTCTGTGCTGAGAACTGTTATATATTGAAGTTAACATAATTAATAATAATGAAATGCTATTCAATATCTATAACGTGTATATAGGTTATTTCTTCTTATTTAATGTGTAAGCTTCAGGATGCACAAATCCTTTAAACGAAACGAAAGAACTCTTGTCTATTCACACAGCAAAAAAAAACGTATATTTCAACATTTTCATTTAAGGATGAAGTGAATACATTTGTATTTTTCAAACCATTCAAGCAATTGTATCACTGATTCGTCGCCCATAAGTTGCAAAAATTACATCTTTTCATATAAATGCGTAATTCTCATGAAGATCCTGAAGATGTATGGAGGGGACTTTCAAAAAATAGACTCATATAGTCTAAACATATCAAAGTAGATTTATACGTTAAATCTATATTTTATAACAATTTTCTTCATGAAATAGCTACATATGTTGGGAAGTTCAAGATATGGCTGAATTCCGACCTAAGTTTGCTATGTTGATTTAGTATTTAAAAATATGATTTTTATGTTTCTTTTTGTCCGATTGGCCGTTATATAAGAAGTGTCCGCAAAAGTAATTCGAAGCGATTCATTTTCAATACGATTCGTCCTTGGCCTAAGCAGATCGGTCTATCAAATCTCATTGAAATACTGAAAAATATGCAACGCTTAAATAGATTCATAAAATGATTCTGCGACGACTAACATAATAAAGATTTGTTCCCCTTGGGCGTATTGCGGAAGTTTAATCTACCTTTACTACAAGCGGTAGTGCCAGATAGTGAACCTATTTGATGATGAGAAATGACTATAAATTCCATCCTTTTTTTCTCTTTTAGACCAGCCACTCGGAGTTCGTATATGTGTAGAGAAAGATTATAGATAGGGAGATATGAAAGTGTAGAGGAATTCGGCTTCGATGTTGAAATGTCTGGAACAATGGGAAGATCATTACTGGTACGTTGCTTCAAAGGCGGCCAGTACGATTATTAATGAAAAAAATCAACCGTAATAGGAGCATAAAATTATAAAATATTGGAAAGTTAGTTGGCTGAGTAGGCAAAGAATCTCCACTAACTACTTAATAGAGCTTTATATGCTACGGCTTTAAGTCTTAGGCCTCGAATTTTTTTGCTCGGCTAAGTGAAAAATTTTCCTTCTTTCAGGTTCTTATTTGTGTTGGTGTTGGGTACAAGAGACTTTCAGTTTTCCAAATCCACTTCTTTGAATTTGAAGTTATGCTTTCTGACATTCTAAACTGAAATGTTACCTTTCAAACATCCGGAGAGATGACATGGGCTGGTTAACTTTGCCCCATATCTGATCAGTTGATGGTGATCTAAAATCTGAGCGAAAAAACTACACTACTAAGGTCCGGCCGCTTCCCTATCGCTTCTCCTCCACCCATCGCCATATTATACGGATAAGGGATATCTCCTGAGTGATTGCTCACATAATAAAAAAAAATATTCTGCTTAAAAAATTCAAGTTCCTTTTGTTGCTTTGTCAAAATTGTATGACTTTAGTGTAAAAGTACACAGCCAACCAAGCATAAAATTGTCTCAATATCCAAATGTATAGTAATAAAAATTCGCTACATATACTACATACATGACATTGAAATACATTGTTGACATAGTGAGCAGTCGTGCAGTCTAGCGTATGCAAAACTTTATGCAAGCACTTAATACAACGCAAGTAATGTAAGTAAAACAATGAAAAAATATTAACCCGAACATAGCGGTAAAACAATATTGTAAGAACGAAATGTGTAAATACCATGATGAGACGTTCAGACTTGTACTGACTTAAGGAGTCTATGCCGGTTGATACGGTTAATTTTCGAACTAATACTAACAGAAGTCAGTAGTAGAAAAAGAATTAGGTATTAAATATGTTTCAACGGAAAGACAGACTGACAGACATTGTTTAGCCGATTTTGATGTTCGTGTAAGCAACTCCAATTCATAACTTCATACTTAACACATGTTTGAAAATGTTTTTATACCTGCTCTCCTCTTTTAGTGGTTATAATCATCGTTTTCCGTTCCACATTTATACAAACACGTGTACGCCTATACGCAATAATATATTATATACATATGCATATGTACGTAAATATGCATATCATATTTGTTTTTTCTATTCTTAACGTTCTCTTCTCAAATTCATTTTTCTAAGGAAAAAACATGCGCATCTTTTCTTTCTGTTTCATTCCTTATATAAGGTTAGAGAGTAAAAAAACGGTATATGTATACATATGTATAGGTTATACACATATCTATAGGCATAACAAAAGTTAATCGTTCCAAAAATTTCCAATAATAACTCGAAAGAATTCAAAATTTTCTTGTATGAAATCGCTTTTTGTTCACATTATCTCTCATGGAAGGAAAATGAATTTTTTGCAAAAATATATACATTTTTAACATACCTATGTTATAATTATCGCTTATATAGTCCACAGAAAACGCTTTATTTTAACATTGTTGATCTCTGCCATTACGTTTAACTAATGGCGGACGGTCATATCAATGTGGCCATCCAGCAAAATTACTCGGAGCAAATTACATTATGTATACACCATCGAAAAGTAACGCAGTAAATATTCCTGGTGTGCAAGAATTCAAAAGGTACATTTGAACAAGACTTAAATAATTTAACGACGCACAGAGTGATGCTCTTACAAAGTAAATGCATGACTACATTTTAGTGAGTATGGGCGCATAAATGGAAATTCATTATAATTGGCAAAAAGCACACGGACCTAAAAACACTGTTATTCATATTAGGTAGTCCAAAAACTATCGATCCCTCAAGAGTAAAAATCATCATCAAACCCTACAATATTTTTCGACAAGGTTGTTTATAATTGCTGCAAATGACTGCAACGTCTTGACTTTTTATTATAGCAGTCAATTCGCAGACTGTTTAAGCCTGACCGTCCGTCTGTCTGTTCTGTATGTCCACCTATTTTTACTTTCAACGTATAAATAGCAAATTACGAGACATTGCAATTGAACTCAAGCACCAATCCTACTGAAAATAAATTTGATCGGATCAATTTGATAATTACTCTTTAGTGCATAGCATATTTTGGTCGCAGGTATAGTGAATGCTCAGTCGCTAAAGACATAACATTTACCGATTTGGGCAGACATCCATCAGCACGCAGTCACCACTCATTTCATTCTGATCGTCAATGTGTTACACAAACAGGGAGCATATTTTTGTTGATTGACCCATAAAGAAAAAAAAAAACAATAAGTAAGTTATATTCGACGGCGGCCTTTCGCATACCCCTCATTATGCATTTTGCATTCTACTCTCCAAGTTTTTTTATTTGATATCCACATAGCTGGTATTATTAAGAAAGAAGTAATCCACCAGATCGCGGTGCCTAACAAATTTATTTTACGATTAATCCATTTTTATGCAGATAATATGTCTGCATTTGAGGAGTGCACAAAATAGTTTTAAACATTCTGTCTTGTTTGCCTTATGATAAATACGCATATAATCTCAAAAAAGTGAAAAAAAAGAAAATTTAATTACTCGTAGGTTTTTGTGACCATGCCCAATTATTTTCATTTTTGGACATAGAGAGTAAACGAAATGTGGAAATTTTCGTCCTTCTAACTATAATAACTTTCGAGTAACGAGCAAAAATCCAAAAATTTTTGTTGAAAAAAGCAGAGTTGCGTTCAGTCTACGCTGCACTGCGAGGCTCTGCTCTGATCAGTTTGAACCACTGTTTATATATCAATCTGCGCGCAGAAAATTCCAATGTTTTTACTATATTTGAAGTGAATATCTTCATTTTTGCATGCCACACACACCACACCGACGGACAGACATAGCTGAATTAACTCGGAATTTCACGCTTTATGGAGTCTCCGAAGCTTCCTTTTTGATGCTACATAAATTATCGACAAAAATAAAATGAGTATACGCCCATCTTACAGCAATGGTGGGTATAAAAAAATTATTTTGAGAAAATCTGTAAATATACGTAACTGGCTATTCTTGAGCTTACAGGTCCAACGTTAACAAAAATGGTATCTCGGCATAACATTATTTTGTTAGACTCCCTTATAAAACAGTTCTTATAAAAAATAGAACAGGCATTTTAGTATTTTGTGATGACACTTGATTCAAAGTAATGATTTAACAATTAAATACATTGTTTTCAAGGAAGCAGGCACCTGCTAGACCAAATGAAATCGTTATTCAAATATCATTTTTTTACTTCTCCTACGTACATCTCACGTCAGACACGCGCAAAGAACAAGGGCATGGGTGTATTCATTGCATTTACTCAATTCATACTCACGTGGTTTTATGCCAAATAAAAAACATTTTCTATTATTGGGCGCAATATTTTTTGGAGTACCTAATGTGAAAGCATTGAAGTCATTCCGTTTCGTAGTGAAGATGAATACTGTGTCGCACAATGCTTGTGAAAGGGAAAATAGGTATTAGCATTTATTTAACGCTTGTCACTATGAACCCTTTCCCTTTTGCAGAATACTTGACTGTTTATTGAAACAATTTTTTTTCTTTTTCTTCAATCTCTACCTAAAAGGTATTACGTGGAATTTAGCGATACGCCTAACTCCGTACTTTAGATGACTTCCTCTTCGGCACTTTTCAAATTCTTTTTGCACTGTATGTTAGCGAATTCTAATGAAAATTAAATACAATAATAATTTTGCACTTGAATTTTTATTTTTCCAGCTCAACGTCAACATTCGAAGGATTTTGTTTTTCTCTTGATACCGCTATACTATGATTATGTACATCATCTTTTAGTGGTTTCTTTTTCATGGAACCTTTAACTTCAAAGGTTACATAGTAACGCTTATTGCTGTCCAACTTTTCGGAAGGTAACGATATCAATTGTTTATGTTTGCCATGTGATAATTCCAGGGCGACGTTTCCTTTTCGGCCTGAGCCACTACTGGTTAAAATTTTCGGTAAATAGAAACTTCCCATACTAGATCTCTTATACGAGCCAAAGCCAAATTTAGGTATTGTATGATGATTCATCATAGGAACTGTAATTATTTGAAAGTCAAAATTTGATCTCAAGAAAGTTTATTGATAACTCACTGTACGCTGCACAAGGTATACCAGTGTAGGCGTGAGTAGCATGAAAACAGCGATGGGTCCTTGTTGTGCACTGTAAAGCCTTTTCGTAAGCACCGTAATCGGGACTTAAACGTCGTTCGGCCTTCAACAAATGCTCATCAATTATTAATATTTCATAATAGTGCTTAAACGTATATCATTGCTATACCTTACCTCTTCATACAATTCGTTAATGTCCTGAAAATTGTAAGTTCCCGGTTTTTGCAATGATTTCAAAGTTTCATATAAAAACAATTCAAAATTCTTAAAACTGTATTCACTGAAATTGTAACGACGTAAACGTGTACCCATCTCACCACCCAAAGCGATGCAGGATTTGTGATAATCATCCACAGCACGTTTCACCAGCACTGCTTCATTTAATTTATTCGAACGTATTTGTAACGATTTTAGCTCCAATAAATGTTGAAAAATTTTCCGCTCCATATAATATCTAAGGTAAGGGTAAAATTAACTAAGATTCGCTATGACGTTTTCTTTTTATAGTAATACACAGCTCCTCAAGCTCTACGTCGTACAGATACTGATTAGCATCAATAAAGCAAGAGAAGGTTTTCATCAAAATAACCCATTACTACTAGCACTACTACTGTGATCAAAATACAAGGTGAATTTGTTTATTAAATTAAAAATATTTATTCTTCTAATAATATCATCACCTTCTCCACAACACTGAACAGTTTGACCTGGCGGAAGAAATTCATACCGCATAGCACTGCGATAACCGGAGAAAATTGTCAATATCATCTTGAATTTTGAGCGATCTTAGCGCGGATTTTTCGGCCTTGATTCATTTTTTTCAAGAGATGTACTACTTCGCATCTAGGAAAGAAAGAGCATTAAGAAATGCGTCTCAAAGCAAAAATTTCTTGTCCATTTGTCGTCTGCGTCCACTGCAGTGCAAGGGCAATGATATTTATTGATATTTTATCACTTCATTCTGGGGTTCTTTCCCATAAAGTCAAATATAGTTTAACTCATTCTTTAACAAAAATGTATAAAAATTTCTTGACTTATGGAAAAAACTATTGTATTCGCTTAAAGCTTGCTGACTCTTATGCGCTTTAATTTTTTTTTTTTTAACTATCTAAACCATGTTAATTACCTCCTTATATTGCGCTGAATAGATCTCGTCACTGCTGACATATTACAAGTGGTCTTGCTATTTTCAGTTTTTCGATTTGTTAAACGACAACTGCAAGACCTGCCGTGAGTCGTATAAATTCCGTTGGGTTCCGGTATTTTGCGATAGATGCCACGTGGACTTGGCTCAAAGCCAGAGTCTTGGTCTTTTGCTGCATTACTTATTTCATCCTTTTTCCAATTGGTCGGCTCGTTCAACTCATCACTAAAACGCTTTTTTAAGCGTTTTTTACGACTGTGCACGTGATTGTACTCATAGTTGTCTATCACTGATTTTGTTGGAATATCACTCGTTTGTTCTGAGCATAACGACTCCGTTTGAGCTTTTGGACTTTCCTCATTTTCTAGTTTCTCTTCCGAATCTCGGCTCGGAAAAAGTTTCACATGATCTCCGTGTGCCTCAGGAAGAATAGTAAAGCCCGAAGCTGTGCATTGTGTTATCGGTTCATCCTGCGGTATTGTTTCTTCTTCAAGATCTATCGAATCGTCGCTTTGAATTATCTGAAAACTGGACTTGCGTTCCGATGTTTCGTTAGCACTTAATACTGCCTCATCTTCGGCCGAATCGGAAGGTAGCAAAGTAAATGAATTGCGAGCCTTTTGCTCTGGTATAATTAACTTTGTATAATCGGAAATCATATCATTATTATCCGATTCTACGACATTGTCATCCGTTTCATTAACATTCGAAGAATTATTTATAACTGTGGTTTCGGTCGTACTTGGGCTGGCCTCTATTTTAGAATCAATATCGCGACTCTCTTGCGGCTCTTCGGCAATTGTATCCTGCTTCTTAGATTCTGATGGTAAAGTATCTACACTCTCATCGGGCTTTTCGTTATCTTCCTCGTCCTTTGGAGCAGCGTCTGGTGTGATTAATAATACATTGCACTCCTGATTTTCGTTACAAATATTAGTTTCTTCCATTACATTTTTATTCTCATCTGTTAGATCGTCGGGCTTGGAAGGCGGTTCTGACTCGTTCAACGGCTTCTCTAAATTAGTTCTTTCATCTTTAGCGCCATCTTCATGACTTGGCGTTGCCTCTAGATTCTCTTCATTATCTTTTATTTGCAATGGTGGATCAGGCGTAGGGTCAAGCTCTGCATTTGCCGTCGCATTCGAAACGTCAACTATTAATTTTTTATTTTCCATTCCTTCTAAAGGAGGGTTTGAGTTTAAAATATTTTCCTCATTAGTCAAGTTTGTAGACACAACTTCCTCCTTATCAGGTAAAGGGGGGATATCTCCTTCATTCTCCAAATCATTGTCCTTAAGATCGCCACTAACCTTCGTTTCGCTTAATTCATTATTTTTGGGATTAAGATCGTCAGAAGAACATCCTTGATGATTTCTGACTTCTGTCATGTTTTTATTCCTCCTATCTTTGTCCGTTTTATCTTTCAGTGCCCTGGAAAATATGTACTTGTTCTTCACAATAACATGCTCTTTCAAATATTTATGATAGCAACAGTTCTCACACGAATCTTCATCATCGCTTTCGCTTGTGTACACGCAACGTTCTCGCGATTTTCGAAATCTTATTTCAATGTTACTTTTCGACCGACAAATAGCGTTGCATTTATTTGTACATATTTTTGGTTCACCACAGCTACTGGTGCGTCGTCTTAGGACATGTCGCTTAAATTTTTGACGTCTACAACGTTTTTCTCTGCTGTAGGTAGGATGTAGGCACTCACAATAACTTCCCTTTTCATCTATATCCGAATCGGATTGTTTCATATAGACAATTAATTTTTTCGGTTTAATAAAATCTTCATCCTTTAACGGACGAACGGCGTCCACCATAGTTTCTCTGAATGGATTTTCACGGCGTGCGCTTAAGCGTAATTTGCCTGCGGGTAATCCGCCATGTGATTGCAGAAATTTAGCTGTGGATCTGTGACCTTTTTGCAAAGCACAATCCAGGGGCGTCATCATCACACTTTTCGAATTACTATAAATCGAATTTATTTCAGCACCATAATCCAACAATATCTTACAAATGTCCGTATAGTCATTGTATGCTGCGATGTGTAACATACTTCGGCCATCGTTGCTTGTAGTATTTACTTGTTTAGATCGTTGTTCCAACAACCATTCGACTAATTCACGACGCCCGGAAGACGCTGCTTCATGTAATGGAAGATCGCCCTTGGCATTACGTAGCCATAAATTCGCGCCACGATCTTTAAGCAATTTAACAGTTTCTAACTGGCCTTTCGCGCAACCGCAATGTGACGGAGTACGGCCTTTACGATCTTGTCTATTCGGGTCGGCGTCTAGATCTAATAAACGGGAAGTAGCATCAGCGTGTCCTAAGGTTACAGCGTAATGAAGTGCGGTACAACCATTGGCATCAATAAGATCCGTTGGCGCTCCACATAAACTAATTAAGGTATCAATGCATTCTGTATGGCCGCGAGATGCAGCGCAGTGCAGAGCCGTTAGACCATCTCTACAAAATTAAAGTAATTCTAATATTATATGTAAAATAAAAAAGCCTTCCGACCACACCACCTAAGATAAATATGATAAAAAATAATTTTTTCCCCTTTTTTACTATCAGTCCGGCCGAATCGGAACTATTTTTAAATAGAACATTGAAATATCTTCGATTAATATTCAGACTGTATTTCCGATGAAAATTTCTATTAATTTGCATCTTGAGAACAGCGTTTCGACTTGCTTTGAAAGCCGAAGTTTACTTCAATATCAGCGACCATATCTCAAACAATAATTAAGCTTATTCCGCTAAGAGTACGTGGGCGCTCAAGCCCCCACGCTACGAAATAGGTCTCTTTTGGCCGAATTAATCCCTAATAGATGAATTTAACGGCTGATAAAGCTAATAAATAATAAGTAACTTTCGGTGACGAACATGAATGCTGGTTAACTAACTTATCTGCACTTTCCACTCTGGCACCAGCTTTAACCAAAGCAGTAACGGCTTTCGCCGAACCAGCCGAAGCGGCCCATAGTAACGGCTGTCGACCGTCTTTATCTTGGACGTCAACATTGCATTGAGGATGGGCTAATAAAATTTCCAAGATTTCCATTGCTAACTTGGACGAGTTAGTTTGGCAAAGGTTTCCATCATAAACGGCGCCACACATCTGAGCAGCGTAGTGTAGCGGTGAACCACCATTGATATCGGGTATCGCAATATTAGCATCAGCCGCTAACACTGCTCGCAAAGCTGCAACTTCACCGCAAACTAAAAAATATATATAAATGCGCAGACGTAACTAACTTGTAATTTAATTGTAATAGATTCCATCGTCGTAGTTAATCTTACCCGTAGCCCAATGCACTACCGAATGACCTTCTTTATCCACAGCGTTCACATCGGCTTTATTCGCGAGTAGCAAATTGACCATTGCCAAATTGCCCTGAATAACAGCCAAGTGAAGCGGTGTGAAGCCATCCTCGTCTACAGACTCCAATAATTCTGGAGCTGCGACGACTATGCTAGCTGCAGCCACGAGGACGTTCGAATTTGTAACTGCTTGTATAGCACAATAATGTAAAGCGCTTTTATTGCGACGGTCACGGATCTTTATTTGATTCGGCTGCTGAGAGCGACGCAGCAAGATAATAATAAAAAATAGAATAAAAAAAAAAAAATCTTTTTTATTCGTTTTATGTCACACGCTACTTTTTTTAAGATCGCGAACATAATTATTATTATAATGCCAATGCTGTAAAACTTTATAGTTTCCACACAAATATAAAATTTTTACTTAATTTTATGTATAAGAATATATTTTTGTAAATAACCACTTGAATAAGTAATAAACGCTTGAAGGGAAATTCTATGGTAATGTTATTAACACTATTGCTGCACACACCACCAACGACCTATAATGTTGAACTATTTACTTATTTCGTTTGTAATGTGCAACATATACGGAATATACAGGTAACACCCTTATCAGCGTACGCCCATATGTCAAAGTTGCTGATACTGGAATTGGAAATTGCAACTTGACATATGTACACATATATATCATAAACGCCTCCCATTTTTCAATAAGAAGGACAAATCTGACTTAAAGTTTGTTACGAATTGTTATCAGACCTATTTTGAAGTATGCAATATAGTAAACCGTTTAAGCGAACAAGTAATAAACAAATGGCAGGTATCTAGGATTCGTTCTTAAGCGATTGTTTGCTCCGTACTTTTATTTCAATGAGAATGTACGTAAACCAGCGGCCGCCAATCTTTTCAAGACCCAAGCAGTTGAAATTTTTGTTTATTATCAAAAACAATGAAAAAAAAATTTCCCTTTTACACATGTTACATCCACAGGCGTTACATTTTGCTCATCAAACATTTGGAAAACACAAAGAAGATTTTTGATAAATAATAGTAAGTGAATTGACTTATCCCTATATGGCTTTCCATTTACTCCGTTTACTTCCATTTGCTCCTTGTTGCTTATACGATTTACATTTATCTGCGGATCATCCGGATTCTCTTGCAGCCCGGGCCATTGGTTGCTAAGCACTGACATAAACAAACATTGCTAAATTTGAACTATGCAAATATCGTAACACGTTACCAGGTAACCATGTCGTTATGGTGATAAGCTAAATAAGTAATTGTTAGTTTAAACTCTTGCACATTTACTTTAAGCATAAACGTAATCTCATAAAGCAAATGAAGTTCCTTTGAAATATAATTCTTTTTTATATATATTGTGTTTAAAGAGATTACATTTGAAGGGATTCAATAATTTCTTTTAGAATTTAATTTTTATATTCATTATTAGCGTGAAGAATGCCTTGACCGTGCGATTCGTTTAAATATATCGAGAGAAACGAATGTTTGTATGGAGCAATGCGAAATGCGAACAAACTTCTGCTTGTTAACAACAACAAGCAACCTTAAAAGCAGAAACCGGACAATACGGTGGCGTACGAAAGGTTGTAGAGTAAGTTTGTGAAGGTGCAAAAAACATTAAACAAACTCATCGTTGTTCCTTCAAGCTACAATTTTAATCTACGCTATACAGCTGTCTGTCCATGTGACTATAAATCTTAACTTAGTTCTTTGAAATTGTCTCTCAAAAAGGGTAAAACGTTTCTTGCTTCAATCGTACGGCCCCGTTTGACGTTTTAAAGCAAGGCGTTATATGGGAAGTAATCGGAAAAGTGATACGATCCGAATCATTTTTAATAGCATCCCACCTTGGATCAGAACACGCCAGTATACCAAGTTTCATCAAAATATGTCAAAAATTGCGACCTGTACGTTGAGCACAAGAAAACATCAAACGGACAGACAATTCAGAAAATGCTTCTGACTTAATCGGTACAATAAAAGGTGGGTCAAATCATATTTATTTTTGAACATAACCAGCAGATATCTGCCTTTTTCACATTACAATGTTTTCAACCATCTTGGACTGATCTGGCTATCATTCATCGAGAGATACAGACATGGAAAGAACTTCACAAGAGTAAGCTATCACAATTAAATCACATTCAAACTACCCATTGAACAGGTCTTTATATGAACATATGATCCAAGACTCTGCCAGCGATCCTCATTTATTTACATCCATCTTACCTTTGTATGCAATCGTTCCAATACCTCAGCAATGTCTCCCTGTTGACAGGCGTACATTAAACTTGAGCAGCCATAACTAAGGCGATTACTTAAGACTTTTTTTCGCACGCTGTTATTTCTTTTCAAGTATTTTGATTTTACATCTGCTTTAGATCGGCGAGCAAATTCTGAATGCATTAAGTTTTGATGTAACGCAGCACTTTTCGATGGTAAACATTGAAATTTTTCTTTGCCTCTTTCTTTTTTAAGGGCTCTCATTATACGCTACGTTTTTTGATTTCAATCGAGTCAATAGGTGATCAATACTATCTACTCTTTCGGGTATTTATCGTGTGACTATTTATGCGATAAAAGGATTTATTGCAATCATTTCCAGGAGCTGACAACACTCAATGTTGAATGTAAATAATAATTTTAAAACTAGTCTAATAACTCATTTTTTACGGCTAATTTCTTCGTAGACAATTGCTTTCCATAAAGTTAAAATTTACGCTTTAGAGTGCTTCACAGTAAACTCTAAAAGCAAAACATATCTATTTTCCCATTTTCTTTTGTTGTAAACGGTGCTTGTGTAAGAACCATATTAACAATTTTGGCTTCTGTTGGGATTAGTTAGTGCGTTACGATTTGATTTTGGGTAAAAGATAATGTCTATAGTATAATCAAGGCACAGTGCTGGGTTCAATCGCGTTTGCGAAGCAAATTTTGGCTAAAACCGTTGCAAAAATTTACGATTATTACAATTAGCATGACCTTGAAAGACATTAAGGAAAGAGAAATTTGCAGTTGCATAAACTCGAATTATCAATTAAGCATCATTCTTGGCGTTTATGCGTTTCCGCTACCAAACCTTAGCAACACATGAAAATAATTACGTCAGGTATCAAAGTTAACTCTTGTAAAGTTGAATGAAGGATTGTAAGGCGTTTTTGGGTTTGCGTCCTCATAGTGTTCACTTGCATCCTGTTGCTTATGGCCCTTAAATTTCGGTGTTGAACGTAAACATACTTTCGGTTTCTTTCATTTCTTTCTCGTTTTTCTTTTGTATTAAACAATTTATAATAGATCCTGATTAGCTAGTCTTCTATGCATATATATTTAATCTTAAACAATAGCGTAACTCCCTTATTAAAGTTGCACGCATAATATACCTGAAATTTAAAATTGTACCTGTCCTGAAATGCGACAAATGCTGCTAGGAATGTATGCTTTTTGAACGTCCCCATAGCACACCGTACAGCCAGGGAAAGAGCCAAGTGTTGTTGAAAACGTAATTCGCTAAAGGGAACCCTTAAGGCAAAATCCTCAGAACTCTAGTACTCCTCATCAAATTTGAGAAAACTATCGCTACAAACTTTTTTTTCTACCTTTTTTGAAAGAACAGAAAAGCGATGTTCACAAAGTCACAGATCATTGCTTGGCCTAGATCTTCTAGCAAAATTCTCTGTAGAGAGAAATCGAAAATTAGAAAAGAACGGACACAAGTACACCTTTCATAAAACATAAGGAATTTAAGCCAGCTAAGTTGTTTGCGATGAAAGGGACGGAATTCATTTCCTATAACTTGACCTTGAAAAGAAGGCAAAACGTCATGGGATGTGTTTTTATCAGATTCTGCTTCTTCGAGCTTAAACTTCTGGGAAGAGGCGAACATATAAAAAATATAAAATAGTTTATCTAAAACACAAGAAAAAAAAGCAACGATCTTCACAGATTATTTGAAAAATTGAGATTGCTTCGAATAAACCACATTGCTTGTGTTTTCTCGGGCCACAAAAAATGCTCGCTGTTTACTTGTGCATCAATATAATTTTACACGTATTGCTCGTCTGAAATTTACGATGAAGAAAACACTGGACGATATTGTATCGTTTACCAGAACATATCATTGTTGTCATCGCCTCGTCCCGCAACTTGGTAAATGACCATGAATCAGAATTCATTGCCATTTCATAAAATTAATACACAAACAAGAGAAAAAAAAAATTGCTACCTTATCCAAGTTGTAGTTGTAAGTGTTTAATATTACAGGTAAGGGGGAAAAAGTTGGTAAAACAGTAATTTTTTTAATTTTATTATTTTATCCTTTAGAACTTTGATCCACTTTTGATGTCAATAAGTATCAAGCGTTGAAACTTTGGACAAGTATTATTTTATTATCTCTTGGCCAACTGCTCGAAAGTTTTCTTCTTGCCCAGCTTTTTCTTTTTTTTTTTGTGTTTCAAGTCTTTGAAGAGCTTAATCCATTTCCACTTGACACATACAATAAAGCATAAAGTGTATGAGCAAAACTCTATTACTAAGCTTAGTCCGCCAATTAATTTAAGAAAAAAAATAAATTATATTATTATTGTCTTTAAGTATATATATAAACCTAAACTAATTCTTAAATGGAAATTGAAAAACTCTTCTGATTTGACTTTATGGCTAAAGTTTATAATTAATTTTAAAAGAAAATTACGCACTTAAACTTTTTATGTTTTTTTTTTGTTTTTATATTTTATTTTTATTTTCTTTTTTTTTATTTCAAATATATTTCCGTATTGACGTCGTCGTCTATCGTATTATAGTATGTTTACGTCAACGAAGAAGATGAATTCCAAAAGAGCTCACCTATTAAAAAGGCGAATAGAGTGTATTTTTAGCAGTGAATGTAAGAAAAGCCTATGAGCCTTCTTTGCTTTTTTGTAATGGCAATGTAGTTGCTATGGTAATGAGTGCGCTTACCTTCTGTATACATATATACCTCCATACATTCATGTTTATAATGCAAGAGGTCATTAATTTTTTGAGACCTCAATAGCGTCTTAACAAATACCTATATAGATAGACGTGGACGCATATAGGCAACTTATAGAGGCGCATATACGTCTATACACACAAATAAATGTTATACATTCTATCTTTATATATATTCTATCTTTATATATATATATATATATATATATATCAGATATTTTTATATAAATATGTATCCTGTGTATTATTAATGTTCGTACAGACCTTGAATAATTCTTGTCTTGATGTTTTCGAGGAGATAAACATTATTTCACGAGCAAATAAATTTGTTCTTTCCTAGAAATCTATTGCACTTTCCTAGAATGGCTAGAAATGTTTTTAAATATTACGTCAAGCAAATTTTGATTAAAATGCATACGCGCGCACATATCTTATATGTTTGAGTATATTAGCTCAAAATAAGGTTATACTAAATTTTTTATTCCATTTGTAACATTCAAGCATGCTCATGATGAGGCATGCAGGCATCTTTAAAAGTGGTTCTAATATCTTTCTCTTCTTTATCTATCATGTACGGTTTGAATTCTTAAATTAGCTAAAATTTGGAAGAAAATCTGACATATAAATTTTGCACGCTCTCGTCTGCTCTGAGGATTCGAAACTTATAAACTACTTTACATTTCAAAAGTTTTTCAATATCTTTCATTTTATACGAAGACATTTAAATGATTCCACGCGATCTCTTTCTGTCTGACCTAGTCTTCCCGATACCTATAACGTAAACATATTTCTTCACTTTTAACGACAACTATCATGTTGTTGCGTTCAGATATGTAAAAATTAAGATAAAGTATTTGAAGTTTCGTACACATATATTACTCACTCGATCGACTAAGAGAAAATAGTTGTTAATTGACTGATTGCTTGTTTAATTTGATTAATAAAAAAATTATTTCTAACGAAGTATTAACTATCAATAAATTTTCTAGTACTAAGGCTTAAAAGTTGATGTAGATCTATTCTGTGGCAAAAAACTACCAGGAATACGGAAAACTTTCATTTATCATCAAGGATTACACTCTTTCCCTTCTCTTTCACAATTCAATAAAAAATTTTATTGCTTTAGACTCAAATTATAGGTCATGAAATAATAATTGCAATTTTGAGGTTAGGAAAAAGTGGACGTCATGTCTCATCGCAATAGTAAGTCTTTCCAATGCAAATTTGGAAAATTGAGTTCTCTCACCATGAAATCAGCTGCTACGCTTAGAGCACAGCAAATTGCCTCAAGCGTATTCGTAAGACAGATTTCTCTGAAGATTCAACGTGGGTACACTGCCATTATTGTTTCACACCACGGTGCCCCATGACATACGGGTTAATTTTGCTTAACCGGCTTCCTCCATATAAGCTGGGGGCCTAAACTAGACGGGAGAAACCAGATGTATTTATTGTGCATGGCCCAATATACCTAATCTGGGGAGTGCTCAGGCCTATTATGATCTTTAATTATTCGTTTTAGGAATGATGAAGACCACAACCACCGCGATACCCCCGAAGGGCCGTACCCAGAATTCAGGTCTCAACTGCTGCGTTCAAACTGGTGATTGGCTATACTAGTTTTCATAGCGGTTTTCATATGTAAGTAAGTGTACTTACTTCCTTCGGAAGAATCTCTGCAGTTCACCAATGCAGCCGCCTCTATGCGCTAGTACTTGTGACTTTGTGATCAGGCTCCTGATTACCATAGAGCTTAAATTTAGACTATAGAGTCTTTAGCCTTACTTTAGGCGACGTAGTTACTCTTGCCGAAATTAATGGCGGACTGGACCGAGAAAGATTTTATGTGGCTCATATGGCCCATATCATTACTAGGGGGCTATTATTACAAGGCTTTTCCCCGACTTCTGGCGATTTCGTACAAGGAAGTCTGTTAAGAACACAGAACGTGTTTTTATGCTAGTTCTCGTCGAGAAATCAAAAACGATTCAGAAAAAGGCGTAACATTATTTTAGTTTTCATAATATCCGAAGGTTTTGGCCTCTCGATTATTGAGAAGTGTAAACAAATGTGGACGCTTATTCTCGCATGGTTGGAATTTTTATACAAATTATTGAGAACGTATAAGCTTATTCTCTAAAGCGCGAATAGTTTATACAAACACATGTTCAATTTGTATTTGTTTGAGAGAATGTAGTCATATTCTTTTCTGAATACCGTGAATCAAGCTAAAGAAGGTACAATTCACTAATAACTGACACATATATGCGAAAAAACCCGTAAGAAATCGTATCAGTTCCTACAATTTCTAATAGAAAAACCATGGAAGACTTCAGCATAAATTCTCTAAAACACTTTTCTCACATAAAATCGCGTTTCCCATACATTTCTCTTAGATAATGTATGTGTTCCCAAGATTCGCCTTAAAGCGAGTTATTCTTGTGTTTCATTTATTTCCTTATTACCTTTCAAAGTGTTGGTTACATTACGCAAACCCAACTTCTTTTTACATAGCAAACGAAATTGGAGCACTCTCTGTGGAAAATAAGTTCATTTCCGCTTACACGAATTTCCATTTACCACACTTGTAGATGATTTGAAATTATGTAATGATTTGAGAAATACTTTGCAAAAAGAGGTAGATTTTATATCAAAAAAGAAAACTAATGCAGGTATTAGTGAAGTAAACATTAGAAAGTGAAAGGAAAGAATTT